TCCGAGAAAAATGACAACGGCTAATGAATAATGATATTAACAACAAATAATCATCCCATAAAACAATCAAAACTTGAAGAATGCAAAATAGAGTAAGTGATCCGTTTGAAAAATTAGAGGGCTTAAAGAAGAATCGACGATACTGGAAACATTACTAATCGACCGCCGGCTGACAGAAATTATTGACAATCAAAAAGTCAAAAAAACCCGAAATCAAGGATAATGCACAAAATATCTCAAAGACCATCGAACCAATGATCGACCCGGGGTTCGCTAGAACTTGCGCCGAGATCAATAGCGCTCAAAAACAGAACAGAGTTAGTACGAACGGAGTAGTTCTGTACATCCACTTGAAAACGGGTCAATATGATTTCGGAACACGAAATATTTTTGACACATGAATTAATTATTTTTGTTATGAAAACAGGTGTTCGAATTTAAAATCGGAATCAAAACATTGCCTTGTCTTGATTTTGAAATTGAATCAAATCATGGATTAACAGGAACTAGTAGCAAATGAAAATAGAATTTGCCCATTGAAAATTAGAAAATTTAAAGGATCTACAACTGTTGAGATTATTGATGAAATTTTATAGAGAGAAAATGTTGACAAATTTAAGGAAATCTTGAATATAAAATCGAAAGTAGGTAAGAATTATTTATGCAATTTTGGACTGTTATAAATGACATAAAAAATCCAGGTCCGTATTTGAAAAAATGAAGTTGATGATGGTAGCTTGATCACGAAACGTCGAATTTGAAATTTAACCGACCTCGTATCTTTTACCGTTTCAGAGATAGCAATAGTGGTATCACTTAAAACGGACACCCTGTATATGTATAGAAATTTTCAATAATACACACTGCTCGCCGCAGGGTGAAGTTTAAGATGGACGATTTTGATAATTCTATATTCCTAACTTTTTAACAAGAAAACCTTGGGCCTTTTCGAAATGAACTGTCATTAGAAGCGCACATGTTTCAAGTATAAGTGTGCAAAAAATCAGAATTTTAGATTGTATGCTTAAATTAATACAGCGGGTAATGTTTAGAAAAACATAGTTTTTCAAATTCGAGCTCAGTCACGTTTAAGGGCCGATTTCAAAGTTCAGTCCTATTAAAAAAAGTTGTACATTCCCACTTCCTATGCCCCAAAGTGTCCTCTACAAGATGATATAGGTTTCATCTGGTTATACCTCGGAATCACCCACCCTCAGAAAACAGCGAGTTAGAGCAGTGATTTTATTCCACTAATATTGTTGTATTATGGGTAGAAGCTTTACTTTTTGGGCTGAAGCAGTAGGTTTGCGAGCCGAACTTAGTGAGGCTTGCAATACTGCTGAATCAACGATCTTGTCAAAATAGATTAAAATAAAATTAGACATTGCTCAGGAGTACTTACTCAAACTGATGTCTCCACAGCCCCTGATGCAGCCAGGAGAAAAGCACAATGCTTGATCACCCTTAAGATAGTGACAAATTCTGATTTATATGCCAATAATTGACGATTATTGGATTATTATCATTTCCTATTATTATTTTTCTTTTCCTTTTGTTCTTAATTTAAATTTGACCAGACAAAAGTTGGGTTCTGTTCCTTTATGCTGTTGTTAAAACAAGGTAGCGTTTTACATTGGCTGGCCACTATAGTACTCTAGTTCAGCAGTGTAGGTACTCCATATCAAAAGATTCAAGCGTGCATTCGACACATTTGCTTATATATAAAATACAAACTGACACTCAGAATAAAAATAAAAAATTACAAAAGTTAAAAAATCACAGATACAAATGTAAAAGACACAAAATATAAAAAAATATAAAAATATTTAAAAATGTATAAAACAGAAAAAAACATATACGGAAAAAAATTCTAAATAGCAAACAAAAACAACATTTATAATAAATTATTTGTTGAATGGTGTTAAGTACTACTAACAACCCCGAAATAGTTCCAGAGTTACATATCCACAGGCATAATTATATTTAGTTCATCTTTCTCTTGTAAATTTGATGGATATTGCTATATACACCACTCAGACCATCTGTATCGGTCTTTATATTCACTGAGTCATTTAGGTTTATGTGGATCATTTCACTCAGTTTTCGTTTATATGTTTGTGTTTCCGAATCAACAACTTCCACCTCACCAAACTTGAAGCTATGGCCAGTTTCAAAACGGTGTTTTGCCAATGCTGTTTTATCTTCATTGTATTTTCTGTTAATGTGACAATCATTCTTGTGTTGTTGTATTCTTTTATCCAGATATTGCATCGTTTCACCTATGTAGCACTTTCCACATTAACATGGGATTTTGTAGACCAAACAGCTCTTTTTACCCTGGGTCACCTTATCTTTAATATGTGTGAACAGAGAATTTGCAGTTTTGAGGTTGTAAAAGGCTATTAAAACAGCATTGGCAAAACAACGTTTTGAAACTGGCCGTAGCTTTAAGTTTGGTGAGGTGGAAGTTGTTGATTCGGAAACACAAACATATACACGAAAACTGAGTGAAATGATCCACATAAACCTAAATGACACTGTGAATATAAAGACCGATACAGATGGTCTGATGGCCGGTATTATAAAACACTGAACCGATGGTTGAGTTTGAACCTTCGGTTGACTCCATGCAAATTGATAGGATTCAACCATCGGTTCAGTGTTTTATAATACCGGCCCTGAGTGGTGTATATAGCAATATCCTTCAAATTTACAAGAGAAAGATGAACCAAATATAATTATGCGTGTGGATATGTAACTCTGGAACTATTTCGGGGTTGTTAGTAGTACTTAACACCATTCAACAAATAATTTATTATAAATGTTGTTTTTGTTTGCTTTTTAGATTTTTTTTTCCGTATATGTTTTTTTCTGTTTTATACATTTTTAAATCTTTCTATATTTTTTTCTACAACTGTCAAAAAATGATGATGTTCGCAAACCCATGACAGTTTGCGAAGTGACACTTTTTTTCCCAGGTATTGATTTTTTAACGTTCCCATGACGCCGTGCGCAAACTAGCTATTTCGCACACTAGTGCGCGAAATAGCTAGTTCGCACACTGTTGTGTCGTGGTGACACATACCTGTCAGAAAACCAAAAATAATTAAAATTCATCTACCTTTGATTGAAAATGCAATTTTGCCTTCGAATGATCGATATTTGAGTGCAGTTGTAGAAAAAATATTGTTTGCAACTCGGGCGCGAAATACTTTGGTGATCTCGACTATTTTTTCAACTCGGCTGCGCCTCGTTAAGAAAATCAGATCTCGATCACCAAAGTAGCATTTTGCGCACTAGATACAAAAATAACTATTTTATATTTTGTCTTTTACATTTGTATGTGTGATTTTTTAACTTTTGTAATTTTTCACTTTTATTCTGAGTGTCAGTTTGTATTTTATATATAAGCAAATGTGTCGAATGCACGCTTGAATCTTTTGATATGGAGTACCTACACTGCTGAACTAGAGTACCATAGTGGCCAGCCAATGTGAAACGCTACCTTGTTTTAACAACAGCATAAAGGAACAGAACCCAACTTTTGTCTTGTCAAATTTAAATTAAAAACAAAAGGAAAAGAAAAATAATAATAGGAAATGATAACAATCCAATAATCTTCAATTATTGTCATATGAATCAGAATTTGTCACTATCTTAAGGGTGATCATGCATTGTGCTTTTCTCCTGGCTGCATCAGGGGCTCTGGAGACAAACTTAAATTTTCAACTAAAGAAACTAGTTCTTCCTGCACTTCTGAAATGTTGTCCTTCGGCGTCAGAGTTCTCTGAACTGTCCGAATCACTATCAGAAGTTTCTACTTCTAGATTTTCAATATTTAAACCTAGAGCAGCCCTATTTTTTAATAAAATCTTTTTCAAACGTGAAGATGCGTCAGACATAAATAAATGGCAATTCAACAATTACTTACAATATATTCAAGGAAGAGTCCATAAAGCTTATATTGCAGCGGTACAGCACCAAAGGGTTTTCCTCTAGAGGTGATGGGGTTGGAGGGTTCAAAGTCTGGAAAGGGTTGATCTCTGTCAGGTGTAGGAACTGAATCAACGCGTCACTAACAACACGGCAACCGACTTTCGTTGTTCCAATTCTTCGGACTTCACACGAGCACAGTTTTTTGTTTAACGACGAGTTTCACAAAATGGTCCGCGCGCTCGAAAAGTCCGATTTTGTTAGATAGTGCACTAAGAATAAAAATTCACTTTCGTACAACGGGGTTCCGATAGAGGACGAATTTGCACTATCCTGTTCGCAACGCCAGTTAAATGAAGAGATCCTCGGAGTTTCTTTTAAAAAAGATTTTATTTTCACTAAGTCCTAAACTACGTTTACAGGAATGCCTTAATTGTAACTAATTCTAAGGTGAACAATCATCCGAACAGCAAGTCTAGCTTTGACACGGAATAATGTTAATGTTAATTATTGCAACAATCGTATATATAAGGTATAAATGCATAATCAGCAATAAATAGCTATTCTAGGGATATGACTAAGCGCACACACACAATTACTACCTACTTTTTCTTTGTTTTATTTCTAGTTATCACATTTTTAACGAAAAATTTAATATCGGTCCATGATCTGCCGCTCAGTATATCGTTATGCTCCTCTTTAATTTTCGTGCACTTAGCCTTCCCTGGTACGATTCCATTTTTTATTTCTATTTTAAATTCCTTCTCTGAATCATTCCACGGAACTCTACCTAAAGCCGCTTCTCTCTTTGTCCTTTTGGGTTTATTGTTTTCTACGGAATGAAGAAAGAAATTCGATATAATTCCATTAGCTATTACCTTGCAGTATAACCCCCGTATAGATGATATCATGGGGAAGCGGGCAATTTTGTTTTTGGCCAAGCTATTAGTTGGTTTTCAAATTATTGTATATATTACAGTAAAGACAGCTTCTAATAATCTATTCTATAGTTTGGACAAAAATCAGGCTTTGTTGGCCACTCTAAGTGAATAGAATAATATATTTACGTACTAGATTTTTGTTTCTTTTTTCCAATGATTGGTTCAGATGTTAATTCACCCTCTTCGTTCGCAGTACTGCAACCTGGAACATCAGCACTGTCCCCTAGAGTTTCTCCATCTTCTCCATCGCTAGGTTCGTCATCATTTTGATCAGGAGAGTCATCTTCTATGGGTGGTAAATCCAAGAAAATATTATATTTAGATAGTTATTCAATAAGTCTATTGATTTTTCGTTCTGCTCTAATTTGAAAGCACCCTGTACTGTGAGTGTTGATTATATGCTTTCTCAATTATGTGCGTAATATCCACACATTTTTAACTTTAATCAACCTCAACAAATTGACGATAAAAATAACTATTATTTGCCTCACCTTGTACTTCAATATCCTTCAAAGATTCTCCAGCAAATGTATGTGCTTTACTCTGGTCCACAGCTAAAAGCAACCTGCTAACTTTGGTTAGCTCAACTGTATTCTCATGGAGGCGATAAAATTCACGATGGACTCTTATATCGTGGCCCAGATGTCGCGCAAGCCAATCACACTCGTTTTCTTTAGGATTGAGGACTTGGCAAACTGTAGCTACGTACTTTCGTGATTTCGTACTTGTTATTGTGTCTGGCGACTCCAAGTTAGCTTCAGAACACCATTTTTTAATACAATCGTGGCCTTTCATATAGGAATTCAAATCACCTAGTCGTGCAAACACGGAAGGATTCCCTTTGGGTACTCCCACTGCTATGCGAGTTGCTAGTAGAAAATCAACAGATTCCTTCATTTCTTTAGTGAACAAGACTGGTACTTTCTTTCCTCGCTTTCCTATTATTTCTACTACTGTCAGAGCATTTACTAACTTGATTCCAAACTCCGTCAAAGATTCTGTAATTTCTGCTACACCTTGACTTTGCCATAATGGTCTTTTCGTGTAGTGTTCAATTTTCATCCTTGCAGCTTCTCCTGAACTTTTATTGAAAAGAATTATGCGACTTAAGGTAAGTGATGCTAATTTACTCCAATTTTGAAAACTGTGGACTCTTTCCAAATTATTCTTTGTTTCTTGGATCATGAATTCTAAAAATTTGATTAAATCCCAGTAATTGGAAGTAAATCAACAGAATTGAGTTTTCTAGACTGCTAATGCATTGGATGAAATTCTAATGCTCCACTCCAGATCCAAAACTGACAAGAAACCCAACAATGTGTCATTTCTTCTTATGTCGCCCTTTCGCAAACATAAACCTCTCTCAATCCCAATGCACTTTCTAATAGAATACCCAATTTTCAACGCTGAAGACGGAATTCCAAATTCAGTCCTTTTCGCAATTTCGTTGGATGTAACACGAAGGGACTTTGTCGATAAGACAACAGCATCAAACTTTTCAGGGGAGAGAGCGTCAACTAGCCTGTGCACATCGGTATTTTTTTTTTACCAGCTCTATTGTCAACCTTCCAAGTTGTCGCATAGATTGCCTAATTAGTTCTGCTTGAGTGCTACTATATTTTTCATAGAGAAATGCTCCAAATCGTGAAATAAGATCATCTTTGCGACATATTTCAGAAATCTCATCATTTCGCAATTTGTTCAAAATATTAGAACGAAAATCTTCTGTCAGGTTGTGACCATATATTCCATTTAGTAAAGAGGTACTCTCAGCAGCTGGTATTCGCGATAATTTTTCAGAAGTTAAATTATTCTTGTCTCTCATGCCGGTGCATGAGTATTTAAGATGGTGCCATAGATGCCTTTTAATCATAAATCCTAGACATTCGGGACAAGGGCCGTGATCAGAGTATTTCAGGAACTTTCTTTCTTGTTCGCTTGCTCGGCGAGTTAAGATGAGTTCTCCTTTTTGTAGTAGGAGCACGTCACAATTATGATAAAAGTCACCATTTCGCGTCAGGGCATTAAAGGCTTCTCGTCGTCTTTTCGAATTTTTCGGCATACTCAATATTCTGGCAACTTCCATTTCAGTAGAATGAGCCCTTTCAAAATGTCTCGCTAAATTACGATGCAACTTGTGACAAAAATAACAACTTTGGTCCTTATCTCGGATTCTCTTACCACCAGATGTTTTCTTGGCACATTTTATACCTGTTCTTTTGTCTTAGTTTCATTAATGGAACTAGTTACACCGGAGGAAAGGTTGTCAGTTTTCTCGTCGGTTTCCATTGGAGTCAAGTTCACAGAATGGTCAACGGATAGACTTAGTGAAACTTGATCATATTCAGTATCACTCAATATCCTATTGTCTGGAGTGTCCGGTACTATCAAACTGTCGCGGGAGTCACCACTAGGTAAGTATTCAGATTCAGAGCTGCCACAACCAAAGGGTTCGGGTTCCGATAATAAATCTTCTTCGTCTTCAAAATAAACTCTAGCATTTTGTAAATTTGCGACTTGTTCAGAATCAATGTTTATTGCTGATGTGGGTGGAATTTCTGGACTAATAGTTTCCATGGGTTTATCAGTTGATGAAGAAATAGATACCGTCAAACGGGGTGACTAAGGACGGATTTGACACTTTTTTGTGAATATTTCATGACCAGAATTAGTAAATGGCAATTTTAAGGTGGCTACATGTTTCTACATATTTTGGGAACACGTATGCTAAAAATAATATTTTTTCGAAAATCTTAAATATTTTTTTTTAAATTTTGAAAATTGTCCCGTTTCACCCCGTTTTCGGGGTGACTAGGGACAAGCACTTATTTAGCACTAGAAACCATTGTAAGGCGTTTCTGGAGTGAGACGGGACAAAAATAGAAATTTTTAAAAAAGTAAACATTATTTTTATTGATTTTTGAACAAAATAAAAAAATTTCTACACAAGAAATTATAAAAAAAAAGGTCATTTCTTTCGATAACAATAATGGGTCTACCTAATTTTTCAAATTTATTTGGAATGGAAATTTAACTGCACCTCTTCGCAGTTCCACAGGTCTTGGAAGTATTTTCAAAACCTGGGAAATGTTTACTGTGGATTCATCGGGAACTATTGGAAAAGCAAAGCCATTTTCTATTTTCGAATGTTCTCTTAAAAAAGTGATTCTTATTTGGTCACCAGATTTGTCTAAAATTTTTCCCACAAAATTTTTCGAAAACTTTCCGTCTGTAAATTTTACAATTGCAAAATCTTCAATGTGCAAATCAGTCACTTCCTCTGGCTCTTCTTCCAGGTTTTCCACATCTTCATTTTGATTTCTTTCTTCTCCCTCAGACTCTATGTCTTGTATGCTCCCATTATCATCAGATTCACTTCTATTTAATTCCATCTCCATTTCACTATTGTCAGAATCGGAGTCAGAACTTCTTTCACATGTCACACTTCTACCGGGTGTTACTAGAATTTTCTTTCCTTTACCTTTCTTTGCTGGGTTTGTTGGAGTTCGCTGGTTCTTTAAAAAGTCTGTGAGCGTTTCGGTCCAAGCTAGTTGGCCCTCATCTTCTCGAACAGGCTCTGGGGGTAGACGTTTCAAGACCTGATCCCTGTCGAGTGGAATAAGACCACAACAACGAAATCCAGCCTTTATGTTGTCTTCTAGCTTGTCTCCAATATTATCCAAAGCTTTGTTTAATAAGCCTGGAAACTCAGGTTTTGGGAGTACTCCTTTATTTTTTTTCTTCCACTCTAACAAAATTTTTCTCCACGATTGCTTGAGTGGTTTAAAAAATGCTGTATCCAGAGGTTGTGTAAGGTGGGTGCTATTGGGAGGTAGCAAAACGAATCTGATATTATTTTTTTGACATTCCATGATGACATTTTGGGAGATGTGGCTACTCAGGTTATCGCCTATTACAACCTTAGGCCCCTCAAGTCTTCGGAAGTAGCCTAACGCTATAGTCAAAAACCACTGTTCAAATTGATTTGAATCGAACCATCCACTTTTTGTATTTCCATATCTAGAACCCTGTGGTCCATTTCTTATCCAGTTTTCATAGAGATGTTCTGATTTGAACACCACGTATGGCGGCAACATTACACCAGATCCACTAATTGCAAACATGACTGATGTTGATGTTTTACTGGAATCAAGAATACGGTCTGCATGTTTGTTGCTTCTGCGAATAACGACACGCTGACGGCCCGGATCGTCCGTGAAGTTTGTCTCATCATAGTTCACGATGTTCGCAAGAGGAATGTTTTCTAGAGATAAGTTTAGTTCATCAAAATAGACATTTATTGCTTGCCTGTCAACTGCAGCCCTTGCTCGTTTAATGTTTTCGGAAAGTCTTAAAGCCAAATTATTTTTGTGGCGCAATAAAAATGATTTCATCCAGTCCGGCCCTGGCATATTATTTGTAAATCTTTTTATGTTTACACCCATTCTGTCATAGTATTGTTTTACCAAAATCCGTATATCCATTGGTTCTAAGGGAAATCCCCAATCGGCAACACACAACAAAGAATTCACTATTTTTTTTTCGTCTGCTTCAGCTAAGGCCAATTGACCCCCAGGTTTTTTTAAATTTTGTTTGATGACATGCTGATTAATGGTATTTCTGGATACCCCATACCGTTCCTCTAACTCTCTATAACTTGTTTGTTTCGCTAACCTTTCCCTAACGGCCATTTCAAGTCTTTTTTTGTCGTAATTTTGATATGGCCTTGCGCCAAGCCTCCTAACATATTTACGAGGCATGTCCCGAGTCACCCTAAAAAGTGCATTCAATCAGATTTTCTATCACAAAAAAATAAATAAAAATTTCTGAGCAAAAACGACCTTATTACATCTTTAACAACATATTAGCGGACAAAAAAATAAATAAAACATACATGTCATCACTTACCTTGATATATTTACAGACAACAATTGTAGCGGTTTGAAAAAACACCGATTCTCTATACTTTGAAAACAAATTTTTTGTCGCTGTAAAGACTCACCCGGTGCCGCCCGCATTAGGTGTATTAAAGACCTCAAAGTGTATGCTAATCCCCAGAATATTTATGTTGACCTCCCACCTTGCTCACCCCTGTTGCCAATTTTTATGGAAGCGCGCGCCCAAGTGTCCCAAGTCAACCCGTAGTCCAGAGTCACCCCGTTTGACGGTACATCTTGGAAATCTGAATAAAAAAAATCACAAATCATTCTTCATGAAATGTGGCCCAGTTCACATTGGGCTTCTTATTTTGTTTCCGATACAATCGATAGGTAATTCTTTTTATTCGGTTCATGCAGATACATTGATTTTTCAAAGAAATAGCTTTAAATATATCCGGTGTCATACCTGGAGTGAAATGTGGAGAAAATAATTATGTATGTCAAACATTAGATAGGTATTTACGTAAAATATATGCTGTTCTCGAACTATTGGCATATCAACATAGCCTTGGAAATTTGACAGACTCGTTTAATGATGACGATGTGTTTCAAATTCACGCCAAGCTTAAGTTTTTCTACATGACACAGCAATGATTAAATTTTATAGATTTCATTGGACAGGTAATCCAACAGTGTTACGGCCTTATCGATAAGGATCCCAAATCAAAATAGTCGGTGTAAACGGCCATTAAAGATTTTAATTATTTGCGATATCGCATGTAAAAAGATATTAGCTTGGCGTCAATTTGACACGCATTGTCATCATCATACAAGATTCAGTCTGTCCAATTACCAAGGCTGAGTGATGGCAATAAATCGTGAAAAGCAAAGAAAAAGGTATAGGCGGACCAGTGTTTTGCGACACTGTCCAATTTTGTAATTAATAAATATTTAAAGCCGAAATATTTATTAATTGCATTAATTTGTGATTTAGCAATGAAAAAGAATGGTGCATTAAAAATAACGATATAATCTTGATCAAATAATAATCCTGATTTAAAGGCTTTTGTGCATACAGACATTAATCTTCCTCTAACCGTTCTGACGATGGGGGCAGGCCTGTGACGTCCTTTAATCATATTTTGACAGCTGAGATCTGTCAAAAATTACATTTGACAGGTTGAGTATCACATATTGTCACCCGAACCCCCGCTAAAGAAGTATAACTTCAATAACTATTAAAAAATGCGAACTTACCGAAAAAGTGGCAAAACAGATAAACACGTATAGTTACCGATTCCACTGCTGTAATCTCGCGATAGTGCAGCTATATACCAGCTTCTTTTAATGAGTTAGTAAGTTCCTCACAATCTATAATCTTCTTTGGTGTGCTCAGAAGACATAACATTGCCACAATTGATTTTACCAGTTTTCTCTTTGTAATATTGTCTCCCGCTGGTGTCAGAGGCACATCGTAGAAGTGTGCTATTTCGTATAGAGCTAGCCTACACCAAGCACTCTTGACTTAAAGATGTTCTGTTCCGAGTGCATAAATATCCATCTCATCAAGTTTCCACGAATTGTATCTGATATCAGTAACATATTTCTGAGAGAAGGATCTAGTGTTTGATATTACACTTAGAGTTCCTATCTCCAATCGGGGCCCTTTCCTCAGATGACTCATGTTATCTGGCTGTTATCCTTTTGATTTTCTGGATATATGGGTTTATGCTATTGTGCTATTATTCAATCCTTTACTCTCAATGACAGATCAGTGTTGATCGTTTGTATTATTGGGATATGTACAACCATGAAAAATGTATTAATTATTCTTCTCAACTACGAATTATTGTAAAGTGTGTGTGACCAGAGGGCGCCACTTCCTAATTGAGAAAATGTAGTCACAATTTCGTTCAGCGTATGCAAATTAGAGCCGCAATTGTGGCGTACTACACACTGATTGAGTTCCCGCCATGTTCCATGTAGTGGCGCCTTTCTCTCTAACGGGTATTCTGCGCACTATCCTTATTGGCGCAGTATGATCCAACTGCACCGGCGTATCCAGCCCATGCGTCTGGGGGGTAATCAGTTCAAGCCAGCTCGCCGGAGACGAAAACTTTTTACCGGGTGCCACGCCCAAAAACGTTTATTTTGAACCTTCAAAACAATTTTTCTGCACTACCAACAAATAACGAAACCGAACTCTGGGATTCCCCAAAAACTTTCAAATTATAGCAGATTCTATGGGTAGAACCAGTGCAAAAAATGTATTTTTATCTCTTTCTTATGCAAACTAGTAGAAAAAGACGCGAATACACTCAGTGCGCACTATCCCTTTCAAAAGAATTCGTTATAAATGGCATGCAGGCAGTGCGGACACTGTGCAAACTAGAAAACAAGTCTGTAGAGCAGCGGTTCCCAAACTGGGTGGCGCGCCTCCCTAGGGGGGCGTGAAGCAACATTAAGGGGGGCGTAAGTCTTCTAAAAACTTAATACAAATTTTAAGCTTTAAAATAAAAAATCAGATTAAATTTAAAAGAAGATGTCTACAATCCGGCAACAGCGCATACTTAAGCCAAAGTAGCTTTGTCATGCGATCATTGCTACAGCGCACGCTTACTGGCCACTGTCATGCCCATTCCTCCTCTTCCAAAGTCCAGTTCAGACGAGTTACAGTAAGTGAAAAAAATGTTTTTGTATAATGGGTGAAGGAAGGGGGGCGACCACTTCTTGATTTCAGAAAGGGGGCGCAAAAGAAAAAAGTTTGGGAACCACTGCTGTAGAGAAACAATAATGGGATCCAGCGTCAGCCTTTAGATCGCAGTCATGTCGCAGCAGTACTTGGGCAATTTGGCAGTCTGGCAGAAGTCTGACTGTTCTATAATAGTTTTTTCGTCATACTTACTATGGGCCGGTTTCTAAATAGCGAGTCACCTCCGGGTTGGTTTCAACTCCAGGAGCCCAATTCTTGAAAAATATTGCATCCGAAATTTGATATGATTTCGAACGCTTCCCATTTAATTTACATTGCTGTCAGTCAAATTCGTATCAAATTTCCAATGCGATATTTTTCAAGACTTGGGCTACAAGTTAAACGTGTCCAGTTGCAGTTGCAATGTTTACCCTGCAGTTATGCTTAACCCGGAAGTGACTTGCTATTGAGAAACCGGCCCTATAGCATGAGCAAAATTGAAATCGAAAAGGTGTTAAAATATAATTAACGGCCGCAGGCCGTGATTTTCACACATACCCCTGAATAGGAAGAGTGTATAACATATAAAAATATAAAAAATAGATTTATTTGTAAGGTGTAGGGTATATGTCGACCATCGCAACGATCTTGTGGGGGGTAATTACCCCCATTACCCATTACCCCCCCCTTGTATACGCCGGTGTCCAACTGCCACACAAAAACTATTCTATTGCCAATTTATGGCAAGTTTTGCTGTGACATCCGAAGGTGTATTGCCACAAATGAAGCGTATGTCATAATTGAGTTTAGTGCACACACAAGTTGCCACAGTTAATGCGACACACACACTCTATGTCCAGTTTTATCGACGAATGCTGTACGAGCATCCTTTTCATACTTCAGCCCATGTTTAACATATTTGTGTGTAAAACTTTTTCGCCAAAAATACTTCTGAGTTTTGGATTCCCAACACGTCCCTCTATATGTATATATTTCGTGGCATATTGAACCAGTTATGCGAAACTGACGAGCATTATGCCATTCAGAAGACATCCGGCTCAATTCTATCATCTCACTTGCTGACTCATTCAAGATGTTACAAAAAACACCCTCACAACAAGCGAAAGAAAACAGAGAAGGCATGGAATGTATTTGCATCATTATCACAGATTGGGCAGCATTGTCTAGAATCTTCACAAATTCTGATGTCATGGCAATATTTTTGTCTAGTGCAACTACATTTGCACCAGAGTTTGCACTGTTATCGCTATGATGTCCTTTGCTAAAAAGAACAATAATGAATTAGTTGGAAAAAATTATATTAAGTAATCTTACGAATGCTTTACAATTGCTGAATTGGAGAGTTTCTTCATAAAGGACTTTAATATTGTTTTCCTCAAATCATCATTCATGTTAACAGCTACATTCATCCCTAGTTTAGGTTTAATACAGGGCATTCCTGTAACACAGGTTGCCTTATATTTCTCCTTAACGGTTTCCTTGGAATCTGTCCAAATGCAGCTTAACTGTGTTTTGGAAATGTCTTCCAATTCAGATAGTTTTTTTCTGGAATAAAAAACATAAATAAATATACAGCGTTTTTCCCCCGAAGGGTAAAAAACGACTTATTTTAGGCCTTGCCTAGGCTTGACCCTTTATGAGATTACCTTCTTTATTTTCCTCATCGCATGCGTCCAAACTCCTTAAGCAGCTCTGCAATACCCTCTCCACAGTCTCCACGTCGTTCAGGTCTCGCGTAGCTTCGGCGCTCTGCCGAGCGCCGCCGACCTCCAGAGGCCGATCGATAGCAGCGAGACAGTTCTTTAGTACCTGACATAAAGTAAGTCGTCAAGGACTTACCGGGGTCAAGCCTAGGCAAGGCCTAAAATAAGTCGTTTTTTACCCTTCGGGGGAAAAACGCTGTATATTTTAGCCCTGTGCCGTCGGCTTGACCCTTTATGAGAAGTGTTTAGTTTCTGACGACGTATATACAAGAGCGTACTGTGAACAACAAATAATTCATTCCTTCAGCATGAAACCAAAATAAAACTCAGATTTCTTCCCAAAACAAAACTTATATTCTGTATCACAGCCGTGAAACTTTTGAAAACAAAAACATAATTATTCCAAACCAAGTAAACAAGAAAATAAAATAAAACTTTCAGTTGCTATTTACAGAATTCCGAATAAACTTAATACTACAACAGCCTTACAACTAAAGAGATCAGAAATGAGATTCTAGCTTAAACAGGTACAAAAATGCTAGAGTCCTTTGAGGAACGCTGGATTTCCTTAAAATAGAATTTGAAAAAATTATTTTTTCCTTTCCAATTGGCACATTGTAAAATAGAATCTAAAGGAACTTGATTAACGAAGCGCGATGACGACACCGCCGATCGAATACTACCAGGGGCATAATTAATTTTCGCACCCTCGAAGGCTGTTTTCACCCATCCTCCAATCACTGATCTTGAGGCGGGGCCCACTTTTCCTCGAGACGTTATGAAAAGATTATCTAAATTCTGCCTAGCCCTTCTTCTTGTCGGTCCTTCACATCCCTTGATACATAGACAGGTACTATTTTGGAAAGGTTCGTGGCAAAAAGATCTATCTGCGGAATTCCCCATTTGAGAAATATCTGCTTTGTCAGAGCTGGTAGAAGATACCAGTCCGGGGCCCTTTTGTCCCTGGATAGACTGTCGGAGATCCCGTTGAGAACTCCGGGCAAGAACTGGGCTTGAATGTGAAACTTGTTTTTCTGCGCCAGCTCCAAAATCAGGTACACGATTCTTAACAGTTTTATCGATTTCATCCCACCCTGGTTCTGAATATAAGACACAACTGTTCGATTGTCTGATTGGATAAGGATCACCTTGTTTTTCAGGCTTTCGCAGCATTTTCTCAGCACGATAAGTATCACAAACATTTCCTTGCAGTTGATATGCCACTTCCTCTGACTCTGCATCCATTTTCCTTTGAAGACCCTGTCCATAATATGTGCCCCCCAGCCCACTTCGCTGGCATCTGTCGACATGAATATTTCCGGATTCCTTGGAAAAAGCTGACATGTTTCCTGCATATTTCTCAACCACCATGCGGCTTCTTGCAATACTAGCCGGGATGTCTGAAACTTCAACCTTGGTTCGTCCTCTGGCAGCTTCAGGCTTTCTCGCAACATGTGTCTTGAATGCAGCCTTGATAGTGGGATCGCGAACGACGCGAAGTTCATTTTCCCTAACATTGACTTTGCCGACTCCCAACACCATTTGCGGTTTTTTATTAAACTGTCCAAGTCTCTTTTTAATGACTCTTTCTTTTCCTCTGGCAATGAAATCCTTTCCTCGAAGGTGTTCCAAATTATGCCTAGAAATTCGGTTACCTTTGTCGGTTCTTCTACTGATTTCTCTCTGTTCACATGCCATCCCAACGTTTGTAAAGTTGATATAACCTGCTGGGTTTGCCGCTTCAACAGGCCTGGGTCTTTGTTTGCAAGCAAGAAATCGTCCAGGTATACTACAACTTTGATGCCCCTCGAGCGAAGTTGACTTGCTATCCAATTTGAGATACGGGAAAACTCCAAGGGAGCTGTGGAAAGCCCGAACGGTAGACATGTCATTTGGAACACCTTCTTTTTGAAAACTATTGATAGAAACCGCCGATATCTCTTTTTTACTGGAATATGGAAGTACGCCTGGGAAATATCTATTTTTGTCATGAATGAATTTGATTCTAGAAATTGCGGTATCTTCTGATGACTTATTAACTTGAAAGGTTTTGGGTTTAGATAGCAGTTTAGGGCTATCAAGTTCATAACTGGTCTCTTTGATCCCCCCCTTTTTTTTATGGGGAACATCTTCGAAAGGTAACCCATTCTGAAACACGATCTTTTCAAAACACCCTGTTTTATTAATAAAAGCATCTCTGCGTCCATCGCTTTGGTTTCGTAACATGAAATATTTATTGTTGAGAAGGGCACCAAAGGAGGCTTTTTGATAAAAGGGATCGAGTACCCTCTCAGAAATTCTAAAATTCTTCTGGGAGCACCCACTTTTTTCCATTGGTGTAAGAATCTCTTTAACTGCCCCGCTCTGAACGAGCTGCTGTAGTCATTGTTTCCTTTGTCGTTTAGAAGATCTATCAGATCTTCCATGATTCTCCCTTTTTCTAGAGGGTAGATCTTTGGAATCTTTCTTTTTTCCGTCATAAGAGGTTGATTGTCTTGGAAAAGACCTTCGACTCTGCTCCGAGTATTTATTAGACTTTTGATGGCCCTGCCCATAGGAACGCCTCGGCTGAGAACTTGCGCTTGCTTTTCGGTAAGGGGTCCGAAAAAAGCTGCTCTGCTGTCCAACTAATTCCGCAAGGCGCTGCTCTTCAAATAGGTGTGAAGACGACGGAGGAATATCATTAAGTAGCGAAGCCACTTGAGCATTTTTTGGGAAAAACTTTTTTCGCCTCTGCTCTATCACTTCGGCTCTCCTTCCACAAACATATTGCAACACGTCATCAGACACCTGCCTGAACTTAGACTCCGTATCAGCTAAAATATCATTAACATCCTTCTTTATGGCAGGATGCTTCTCAACAAGAGATTTTACTCCTTCCGCGAACACCTTCCTTTGAATTAGGAGCCCATGGAGGACAATACCAAGGGTGGAATCTGCCACCGCCAAGATGTCGTTAGGGGTACTAAGGTCCGTCAGCTGCCTATTAACATGTAGAGCGCTAAAAACTGGGAAAGCCTGCAGCTTCTTTTTGGCTTCCGCGTAACGTATACGATTGAAGGAAGGCTGGCCCAACCTCAAGCACTGAATCCCCTGCTCCTCTAGTACCGGGTCTGCAGGGGGAATCGATGGCTCTTGCTCTTTCGTTTTTGGACAGAAATCAAAAGATTCCCCGTTATTCTCTTCCAATTCGTGATTTTCACCGAATTCCAGCAGCGGAGGAAAATCTACCTCGTTTTGCTTTGAGTACAGCTCTTCAGACTCGGAAACTTCATCTTCCATTGCATCGTCCATTTCCTCAGAAGCAACCCGCGACTGTGACTCAGTTTTTAATGACTTAACAGATGTCACTAAGGCAGAAATCATATTCAGAAGGTTTTCATTTGATTTCTCCAACTTGTCCAGACGGCCGGTTTCTCCAGACTTGCCCTCAGAAGTATGCATTTCGCTGACAACGGGACTTTCTTCAACATCTGACTCGCTCTCATCCTCCGGTAAGTTTTCTAGAAGTCTCCTATTGGCTTCCTTCTGGGAGAGAAATAGGGGCTTCAACTCAGCTAAGGCCGCCACAATTAACTCATTTTTTACTGCTGAGCCCCTTATTTTTGCAGCCAAGCTCGCTGGCTTAATAATGAGGCCTACGCAAAATGGCCACTCCAACATTTTTTTCTTAATCTCCCGGTACCCTTTCTCTGAGACATGTGTAGCTTCTGGATTAAAGGCCCGAACAAACTCAACTGTTGGGAAACCAAAACGAATTTTATTGAGGAGTTTCGGATCTCCATCCTCAAGGATCTCCTCCCTTGAGAATTCGTATGCATTCCAGAGCTTTTAACCCTCCGGTAGACATTCTTCTGCTAATTTTACTATTCTGGCAAGAACTTTAGCCTCTTCACGATCCTCCGGGAGAATTCTCGCCAATTCATCCAAAGTCTTGATGCCAGTATCCATCATCTGCAAAGATAAAATTTAATATCAATGCTGATCAGGAAAAATAAAAAAATCGACCGGCACAACCCGGGATCGATCGGCGCCGGCCACCAAAACGGGCCGCGCCGGTCACCAAATCGGGCGGCGCCGGTCCCCAAATCGGGCGGCGCCGGTCACCAAATCGGGCGGCGCCGGTCACCGAATCGGGCGGCGCCGGTCACCGAATCGGGCGGCGCCGGTCACCGAATCGGGCGGCGCCAATCACATAATACAATCTGCATTTCTTGCAGGATTGCACCAACATGCTAGACTAATCGAGACCTACGAGTGCTCGGATCAGCTAGATTTTACTAAAAAAACAATCCGCATCCAATCAAATGCATAAGATCATTACACCAATCGAGACTCAACAAGTGCTCGGATCAGCTAAATTAACCACAGTCTTCCATCTACAAAACATATAACAGAAAAAAAAAAAATTAAGCTTACATACCTAGCTGCTTTATATTCCATCTATCACTCACTCAATAGAAATAATAATTTCGCCGAACTAAACGTTTTGCCGTACTGAACGTAAACTGGATAGCGATTTAGTCGGAGATCTCGACACACACCTGACGAAAACAAGAAGCGTACTGAAGAACTGTCTCGCTGCTATCGATCGGCCTCTGGAGGTCGGCGGCGCTCGGTAGAGCGCCGAAGCTACGCGAGACCTGAATGATGCACAGTGCTTCGAGTATATGGAGTTATGGGACAAAAATCACTGCTCCCGTTCTACTCAACGGATTTGATTCAAATAAAAACCACTTTGTAAGTAATATATGGACCTACGTTTGACATGTAAAAAAAATTGAATGTCTTGGGTATACACGGCACAAGAAATATTTATATGTTTATGGCGATAGATGTTTGCATTTCTTATTTTGATGTAGCCTAAAACTCCAATATTCACCGAAAAAAATAAAAAATACGTTTTTTCATATGTAATAGTTATATACAGTGTGTCCCGCTTTTCATGAATAGGTACACCCCGATATCTCAGTTATTAATAATGCGATTTTATGCAAATTTTGGTGAAGATTGTATGTTAGAAAAATGAACTATTTGACATAGTAAAAAAAAATATTTATCATTCGCGTGCGGTGTTGGGTGGTAAAAAGGGGTTGTATTTTTGGGAAAAAAAATATTAGGGCTTATTTTAGATAATTTTTTGTATGATTAAAATTCAGCATCCCCAAAAACCCCGTAATTCATATTTTCAAAATGACAAAAGCTGATTAGCCTTTTAGAGAAAATAAATTAAAACACGCACGCCAATGGTAAACAAAAATGTTTACTATGTCAAATAGTTCATTTTTCTAACATACAATCACCTCCAAAATTTGAATGAAATCGCATTATTAATAACTGAGATATCGGGGTGTATTCATGAAAAGTGGGACACACTGTATATTATAAAGAAAAAACAACAAACAAAACAAACGTTTTTCAATGAATAAATTTCAACAAAGAATTAAAACAATAAAAATATTTCTAAAATGACAAACCTATTGGGATATCTACCAAAAAAACAAAAACTATTAAAGAAACAACTGACAAAGCCTGAAAAAATATCTTATTCGCTTTCTGAAGAGTCATCTGTATTTTGCAAATTAATGTCTGCAGGCAAAATATCAGAATATTGTTGCAAACAAGAAGTGTCTTGTTCCAAATATTCTGAGATATCATTGATGTTATAATTATGTAATTTGGAAATTGTAGGTGATTGTAGTCTTTGGCGCAAAAAATTCCAGCGGACTTTGAAATAGCTTTTTTAATTTTTTTTTCCACATGTAGGAAAATTCAAAAACTGTGTGATTTTGTCACATACTGCCCTTCTCTTTAATTTCCTGGGTGCCAAAATCCAGCTTTCTAGTAATTCTCTGTTTTTTATTTGGACACGAGTATCTAAAATTAAGAAAAATCACTGAGTGCGCAAGTTTGCGCAAAAACGGATTTCATTTTCTTAAAGAGCATTAATTGAACTATCAAACTAGCCTTTATTTAAAAAGACGTTTTTTGGGGTCTTTTGAGAAAAAACAAAATGTTTATAAAATTTGCACTGTTCACAAAAATGGTGAAAAAAAAAATATAAATAAAAATTGAAAGTCATACATACCTGGCACAATATTATCCATAAGAATGGTGGATGAAATTAACAAATAAAAATAATACCAATAACGGGCACTTTTCACACAAAATGATTCGAAAATGCAGCATACCAAAAGAAAAAAACTGTGATGTTCGTCTTTACGATAATTTTATTGATAAGGAGAGCAAAAACGAGACAAAATAGGTACATTTTTATATACAGGATGTAGTCTATAACCAATAACAGTATTAGGCTTTCCATGGTTTTGGAGTACAGTTTTTGATATTTGTCCATTGCTCAAAGCACTGTGCGACGTGGAGACTGTGGAGAGGGTATTGCAGAGCTGCTTAGGGAGTTTGGACGCATGCGATGAGGAAAATAAAGAAGGTAATCTCATAAAGGGTCAAGCCGACGGCACAGGGCTAAAATAAAAAATTAAATGGCTTAATACCGCCAACTTTTCGGAATGTGAAGTATGTACCTTGTTAATAAAATCAAAAATGCAGAAATGTGTTTGCATTTTCCTACGGCTCCAGCTTTGCAAGTACAATCCATCTGGAAAATTTTAGCTGCACCATTACAAATTTTCAGTTCACCAGTAATTTGGTGTCGATGAGATTGCAATGCAGTAGTTTGCAGGCAAACTGCACATATTTTAACTGATGTTGCGCTGCAATCAGTTCGACCATGCAATACAATGTGGCCAGCATTGAGGACTTCCTCTCCCTCGATCAAACATCTCGAACTCGTGGTGGCTTCTCGACTATCTTCTGATAAGAATATCACGATATTAAAAACTAAAGTTATGAAATCATCCACGACAAAAAGTTTCACCGATCGACTACCGCGGCGCTGCGATCTTAATTTGAAACGCCAATAGCCAAATAATAAACTGGTACGACATAAAGTAAATACAAATTTCAACTTACATTTTGCAATAGCATTAGCAATATCTTCTACATCTTTTGAAGTGTCTAACGAGACAGGGATGGTCACTTGCTTGTAACGTTTTCAATTTCTTGGCTAATAAGCTACCTTGTTTTTATCATACTGGATATGATTCCATATAGAGCTACAATGAAATAAATGAAGAAACAACTATCTTTTCTGTGCCCAGATTTTGTTACCTTGAGTACTGCCTTCTACTAGAAGTTTTTTTGGTTCAGGTTTGCAAGTTTGGTTAATTGATCTAGGAAGGTTTGATTCAGTACGGCAGGGCCCGCTGTTATTGATTAGAATCTTAGGAAAAGGGAGTTTTTTTCATCATCTCTGTTTGCAAATCTAATTGATAAATAAATAACCTGAGGTTATGATAATAAATGTTGTTTACTTTTTGATTTTTCATTTCCATCATGTCATTGAACAGCTGTTTTGTCTAGGCGTTTTCTTTAGACCTGTTCTACCTTTTGATATGTGTTCTATAGGCACTTTTCAACATTCACCAGTCATTTTTTACACAACCGATTCTCAGTTCGTACTTTTGGGGTGAAACTGAACACGTCCTTTTCTATAATTTTCTTCAATATCAAAATTAGAAGTTTGACAGATGAAAGTCTTCTTCCGAAATCTAAATTCGAAATGAAGAATCTACCCTTTTGATCTGCGACCTCACGCTGAGTAGTCGTCCGGTCTCGGGCCTCGGCCCTAATTATTTTTCGGGCGAGACTTTTTGGAATTTTGTGCCAGGGAGCTCAAGTAGACTAATTTCTTGCTGATAATTGTCTAGAGTCGTCCCTTGGTCATTTTTGGATTCTGTTTCGGTAAGTTTGAGATTTTCTTCAGGAAATATTAACCTACAACACGTGTTCCATTTTTTTTTAATAGGACTGTTCCGAGCAGCATTTGGAAGTTTAAGACTTCACCTTTGGTCTAGAGTATCCCTCAATTTGAGGTAAGATTATTTCTAATATTTGGGGCTCGATTTGTTTTTTAATACGAACATCGTTATAGGGTCCTAGTCTCAGGCTATAGTTGGACAATCCTACTCTTAGGCTATAGTTGGACAATCCTAGTGCTAGGCTGTAGCTAGACAGTCTTAGGCTATAGTTGGACAGCTCCTAGAAACAGATTCTAGACTAGATCTAGATTGCTCTTAGTTGGCTTGGTAGCCTCCCTTCAGCAACCCTCTTGGTAGCACTCTGGTAGAACCACGTCGAGTTCTACGTTAAACAGATACAACGTGGGTAGGACTCATGACTCACTTACCATACCATAGTCTATCTACAGTAAGACCAAACCTGTAGATTATCTCCCTTCAAAACTTCTGGAGTTACACATAAATTTGAAGATAACTAACACTTGTATCCCATGTAAGTTACACCTTTTACTATTTAGGCAAATCCTATCTAAATCACTTGATACTAAATCAGGTTCGGTAAGTGCCCCTTAAATAAAATTCTAGAATTTTACCCTGAGGTTGCCCTAACTATAACTTTCACCTTTCTGTGTTTAATTTGCCTGATGGTAAAGTGTAACCCATACTGAATTTTTCTTATCTCTCACAAGTGTAAATACCAAAAGGTTTTTAGTCATGTTTATTTAAAATTCATATTTATATATGCATTATTTACATTAATTCTTTTGATAATCAAATATTTATAAATTGGTACAAGCCATAATGTATACACATTTTTAACAACGTCCTGGCTATCCCTATTCATTATTGTTATTATTTTTTTAATAAAGAAGCCAGATACATTATTGTACCTAATTAGTTGTTTTATTGATAAGCTCTCCAATTGCACAGGTTTTGTTTAAACATCATTAGGTTATCTTCCTAGTTAAGTCACAATTAACTTGGTGGCGCCCAAAGGTAAGATGTATACAAGGAACCCATAGACCCATGGCCGCCGAACTGATGCTGACTAGCCGTATGCACTGTATGCAGTATAATTAGGCAATTGCCAAAATAAGTACGTTATACTTTTTGGCGCCCCACGTTGGGCGCCTCAATTTGAGGGTCCTAGTCTCAGGCTATAGTTGGACAATCCTACTCTTAGGCTATAGTTGGACAATCCTAGTCTCAGACTATAGTTGGACAGTTGCTAAGCTGTATTTAGAGAGATACTAGACTGGATCTAGATTGCTCTCAGTTGGGGCTTTGGTAGCCATTCTTCAGCAACTCTCTTGGTGCCACTCTGGCAGAACCACGTCGAGTTCTACGTTGAACGTATACAACGTGGATAGGACTCATGACTCACTCACCATACCTTAGCCTATCTATAGTGAGACCAAACCTGTAGATAATCTCACTTTGGAAACTTCTGGATTTTCACATACATTTCACTTGTATACATGTAAGTTGCACCTTTACTATTTAGGCAAATCTTATATAAATCATCTGACACCGAATTACGTCGGTAAGTGCCACTTAAATAAAATTCTAGAATTTTACCCTGAGGTTGCCCTAACAATAACTTTCATCTTTCTGTGTTTAATTTGCCTGTTGATAAAGTGTAACCCATACTGTACTTTTCTTATCACTCACAAGTGTAAATACCAAAAGGTTTTTAGTCATGTTTACTTAAAATTCATATTTATATATGCGTTATTTACATTAATTTTTTTATAATCAAATATTTATAAATTGGTACAAGCCATAATGATGTCCTGGCCATCCCTATTCATTATTGTTATTATTTTTTAATAAAGAAGCCAGATACATTATTGTACCTAATTAGTTGTTTTATTGATAAGCTCTCCAATTGCACAGGTTTTGTTTATAACATCATTAAGTTATCTTCCTAGTTAAGTCACAATTAACTTGGTGGCGCCCAAAGGTAAGATGTATACAAGGAACCCATAGACCCATGGCCGCCGAACTGATGCTGACTAGCCGTATGCAGTATAATTAGGCAATTGCCAAAATATGTACGTTATATGCGCCCCTTGCTCAGACTCTAGTTTTACCATTATTCTGCATTCGTTAAAGAAGTGTCAGTGTCTAATTTATGAGCATCAATTACATCATAATTTTTGATCTCTGAAATTTCTGCTCCTGCTATATTTTTAGCTTGATTTTCAGGTACATTTTCAGTCCCGGGTAAATAATATGCTGTAGTGTTCAGGTAATTTTCTTCAAGCCATTCTTCTCCTCAGAAGTGGAAGTGGCATTCTCACAAAACTGATCCGCTGTTGCAGAGACGAAATCAAATGTTGCGAACACGCACGTATATCTTCGCTAAGCCAATTTATTTGGCGTACTTTTTTTTTTTTTTTTGTGCATTCGAATGTCCTTATTTTTTGTTGGGAGCCAAACAACACCATTATTTTCCCACAAGTGAGAACCGGTTCAATTTCCTTCAGTTCCTTGATGTCAATTATTTTAAAGTAGTGATCCATTTCGAGAAAATTACAAAACAACACACACACCGCACCTCGCACAACACAGAACCAAAAGTAAAATAATTTGAAACTTCGAACTTTCAACTTCAACTGTTTCCAACAGTTAATTCAAATCAATATAAATTCAAAATTTTAGGTTATTTTGTGGTTGTTTTTAGTAATTTTCAAGGAACCAAAACTGGGGTCGGATCCTAACGTCTCAGTGTGGTCAAAATTGGTAGTATTTCCGACTTATAGGTTGTGTTTCGTAATTTTAGGTGATGATTTATTTTCCTTTGGTAAAAATAAGTAAATATTAATTCAGCTACCAACCCCGCCATATATCAAGGCCTCGTCGATTTAGCATCTTGTTGGCCATTACAGAGAATCCTATTTTTTTTTTCTAATGGGCTCTTCCACTAAAATTTAAATTAGTAATTTAAGTATAAAATCCTAAAGGAGGGACTATTTTAGGCATATATACTGCCAACACGATCAAAATGTAAGCGGCGACGTCATAGGGATAATTTCTGAGTTTTTATTTGGAGGTATTTCTTTTTTCTTCTATTTTCTCAAGAAGGATTGTGAATTTTTCAAAAGTAAAAATACAGAAAATTCTGTTTTCAGTTGCTTTATCCAAATATGCCAATTTCAAAAATTAGTGAGATCATTAATGTATAAAATGGACAGTAAACAGGAAATTTTCAAGAAAATATTGTTCCTTCTTCGTTTTAGGTTCGATTTTAAATCAAATTTCGCAGACCATAAAGTTTTTTTATTTTTTACTATTATTTTTTAAAATTAAATTTCATAAATTTTAACAATAAACGTAGTGCATGCATATTTATCGACCTATCATGGTCAAGTGTATCAGTAAAGTTATCATATCAAGTTCCGGTTGCCAGTTAGAACAGAATATCCTGCTCTTAAATTGTTCGTAGCTTTAAGCCTTTTTGAAGGTACCACAGTATTATTATTTGCACCCCTTTTATGCGGTCTACTTAGGTATGTGTTCCTTATGTGCATTTTCGAAACAATGCTATGCATTCCATCTCCTAAAACTGTCCCGTCTTCATCTAAATCTATAAAGGCACGTGGATATTTATCACTCATTTTTTTTCCACAATTCTAAAGGCCTTGTACAAACAAAAAAGAAAATACTTGATTTGATTCTAAACATTTCAATTGGAGCAAACGTTAGATTTGTATATACTCAAGTAGAATAGATATTCATTTCATTGTAGAATATCACATTCTCAGTGACGGTGTTTTGATCATAGTAAATGGTTATTCAATTTCAAAATACCTCTATGATTAATTTAATAGTAATAACTGCTTATTCTATGGAAATTTAGGTATGGATAAAATAAGCTAGTTACTTAAACACAAGATACACGGTTTAGAATTAAATATACCATCTGATTACATTGAAAATTTGGTAGGATTATATTGAGAATATGAGTTCTTAAAGCAGATTATATTGAGAATATGAATTCTCAAAGCAAGTTGATGCTCTTCTCTCTTGAAACTTACGAAAGATTAAGCCAAGTATTTCATAATATCATTAAGAGTATAGAAGCTTTGAAATAAAAAGGTTTTATTTTAAATAGAAAACTTTGAAATTATTGAAATGGAATCCTGTGTCTCAATACAAAGCGATGCGTGTTTGAATTGGTGTCATCAATAGGTTTATTCCAAGATGCTTATTCTTAAAAAAAAATTCTCAACTTTTTTAATTTTTGAGATAAAAAAAAATATTAATAAGGAACAATTATAATCAGTAAGGCTATTCAGGATTCAAATTCAGTTTACTGTATACCTACCTACCTATTCGTAGTATACGTTTTATTTTGTTTTCTGGCGATTTGAATATCTAATAGTTGAATGTTTTCACTTTATGGTAATTTTCAAAATGTAATGCTGAGATCTTTCAAAATATAGGTTACAGAAAATAAAAGTCAATTTTACAAATAAAAATACTTATATATATTTGAACAAATTAAGCTATGACATTCTAAATAAATTATATAATAATTAGGTACCTATTTATTAATTAAACAGAATCACATGTAGATACCTATTTGGACTGTGGCACCCGATCACAGAAAATAAAAAATCAAATGAAAGATAATTTTAAATATAATACTAAAAATAAAAAATACTGAAGGAACAAAATGTATTTACGCTTTGGACCAGGGTTATGCAGTCCGATCAAAAAAATAAAATAAAAACAGTATGCAACCCTGCACAAGCAGCTATAATTTAACCTTTTGATATTATTAAAACATTAATATAATACAGATGTCTAAGAAGCATTCTGAATTATTACCCTGTACTTAATTTTGTAACGAATGAATCACCTTCTACCTTACGTAAGATGGTTGGAAATTCAGAAAAAAATAATTCCGACTTTAGAAGGTTAAAACTATTAGTTGCCTAAACTTTATATGCATAATAATGTTCACTAAATCCTATAGTTTCTAGCAATAGATAGTTGAAATAAACATAGGAAGGCTTCATTTTATTTATTGAAAAATATTTTTAATAACGCAGAAATTTGAAACGTCGTTATCAAGAACATCATACACAAGCACAACATTGGTATCATACTTGATCCCGTTTAATTCATAATAAGTTGAATGCTCATCATTTAAACAATTAGATTTTAACAATTCTTGCTAATCATTATCAACCTCATTTATTTTCCCAAAGTTTATTTTATCACTAAATCCTTCAGATGCCATTAATCTGTAACAAAATTTTAGCTGATTTCTTAATGATAATGAGAATGGAAGATTTTTCCTACAGCTGGTTTTCTGAGAAACACCCTTGAAATATTTATGTTTTGCTTCAAACCGCATTGAAATAATTCGACGGTAATGAACTAAAAAATGGAATTTAGGCTTAAGATGTTGCCCACCTAATTTCATATACTGTTCGTTATGATCTTGGATGAGAGATGTAAGAAGTTCAGAAGTTGAACTTGTGGAAGCTGGAGACGTGATAGCTTGGACCATTTTAAGAGTAATCAAATAAAACTCCCAAGTTTTATTGTCTACTGGTACCAAATCTCCTACAATAAATGCGAAATTTCTTGTCAGGCACATCATTTCAGCAGCCGACATAATGAGACATCCATCATTTGATAGATGTTCTTTTTTTATCCCAGGGCAAAAATTTTTTTCCGAATTTTCGTAGCTGCAATATTTTATTCTTGAATTAAGCCTATCAATGGTAAAATGTTTTTCCTCAATCAATTTAAATATTATAAGTGCCATGTCATACCGGAGTACACCCTCAAAAAGATCATGCATTACATCGCAACACAAATTTTCATAGATACAAAAATTTGGAAGTTTGTGCCATATTATACAGTATTCCTTTATTCCAAGTTTATCGACCACATGTACTTCGTATTCACTTTTATCTCTCAGAAGTTTCGAATTTTCAACAGTTTGAGTTTTCATGGTACATTTTGATGCAATACAAAACATACAGTAGTGAGTGGAAGCAAACGATTCGTTTAATCCGAAAATTGTATGAACTCCCAAGTTATCGCCTGTTACAGAAACTAAACAAAATTTCACATTCCTACATGCATTTTCTGTTCCAGAGGTGATATTTAAACCAAAACTCTACAAAAATAAAAGTTCTTCAATAAGTTTGGCAAAGATTTTTTCATTTCCAAATTGCTGTATATCTCCAGTATAAAAAATCAAAGATAGAAATATATTCTCCAATCGGCTAGCATATTCAGGGGGTACGGTGGCAATCGAGAAGTAAACACATCCAATTTTGTATGCTCCTGCGTGTGAACCGAGAGGATTTAGGGACTTGAAATCATCGAAATATACAATTATGGGAAAAACAATTTGATTTTTGGGCGATACATTTTTCAGATTCTGCCACAAACTACCATGTAATATGTTAGTCATACACCCGGCACGTTGGTTCTTTATCAAGGACCTGAAAGACGGCCTACTAAAGCCAAGCAACGTGGTGTCGGGATGGAGATTGGATGGGTGACCGCAGTAGTACGGGACGGTAGCCCGCCCGCGCTGCCGCCAATCATCTGATCTCCAAGTATGAATGAGAAGTATGAATGAGAAGGAGTAGAGCCCATACGAATGACATACAAAAAGCCTATAAAGGTTGCAGTGTAGAGTATGGGCTCGAAAGGGTGAAATTAAATAAAAAATAAAAAATAGTCATACAGGGATTTTCTTTGTTAAAGTTCTTGAATAATTTGTCCTGATAATCTAAAATTGTTTCAAATAAACTAGGAATTTCCAAAAACGACTTTAAGGTATGCTTCATTGATACAAAATATATACAATGATTTTTCAGTGTCATTATTTTCTCAATATTAAATCGCTCCTGATTATCAGTGACGCCAACTACTTCTTCTGTGGGTTTTATTAAAGTTTGACTTTTTTCAAAATACTTAAATCTCTTAAACTCTGTATTCAGCGGCTCAAACGAATTTTCCAAAATGTCAATCATATTGGTTATCCCATCTATATTGTGCTAGGAGGCCTCAGTTTAATTTTTTATTTGCTCGCAACAATCTCTAATAATACCCAACATGCCTGATTTTAAAAATTAATTAATCACTCGAAACAGTTTGGTGTGCTGGATCAATAGTCTTTGTTTTTGAAAAATTTTGAAACTTAGAAAAAGTGAAAAACCTTTGGAATAAATCGTGTTTAGAAAAAAAGAATAATTCTACTTGTGCACTAAAGCTAAAAAAAAAAAACGCACATTTCTACATCAACATTTTTTGAGACCTTCTCTAAATTTTAACGGTTATTCACAGTTTAAAGAAGTGTATTCCTCCGAGTTTTCTAGTTCCAATAACTGTTGCACTTTAAAGGATAAAAGTATAATAGTTTATTAAGCAAAGAGGGTTTTGTATATCGTGCAAATATTTATTTAAAATTATCAGTGCAGAGCGCTTTCGGCCTTAAGCCATCATCAGTGCCAACCTGAAAAATAGAGAAAACCCAACATAAATACATGAAATGTGGGAGATTTAACCCTTGAAAATAGAATAATTGGTTTTTACTCACGTCGTCAGGTGTATATAAAACAACTTGAATTGTAGAACAACGATGCACATGGTTACATAAGTCACAAACTGATTACATGGATTTCCTGAACAATTCAACACATTCCCAAATTCAAACGCTCTGAGGATCGAACATTTTCATAATTTTCTCAAGGAAGAATCCTTCATTTTAATTTTGCTTTGGAAATTGACTGAAATCAAACGCAAAAAGCAAACGTGTATTAGTCGTTTGGTTAGTGATCTTTGGTTTATAACCAGGAGGGACAGTTGACGGTTTGTCCAAGTATTAGAAACGCGAGCAATTTGAAAATATTAAACCGAACAAGGAGAACTCAAGCAATCTTATTTCTAGATGCTGAGGAGCTGGAGTGTCCCATAAGATCATCATGAAGCTACGTTTTAATTCAAAAGGCGTTTATGTAGTTCCTATTTAAATTAACTTGTGTCTTTAGGCAAAAGTTGTTGTCTACTAACTCCTTTTGTATTTCGATGTCTTCCATAGAATCAAGGCGATTAAAGTTTTTGAAAGTCGAAAATCATTCATAATATTTTCGAATTAGACTGGGGGCTGAACTGAGGTGGTTCTTTTCAAATGTTCGCTGATCCTAGTGCCAAGTGGTCTGCAAGTTCTGCCAATATAAGTGCTGGGGCAAGAATTGCAACTCAATTTATAGATGCTTTTGGATAGTTGGTCGATTTTGTCTTTAGAGTTAACTAGATGTATTGCAAGACTGTTTTCTGTTTTATATGAAATTCTGATGTTTTCGACATTTTGGCGAAGGATTAGCGAAACTTTGGAATTCATTTCAGAGTCAAGAAATGGTAAGGCCACATATTTGCTGATGGCTGGAGGAAGAACTTGGTAAACTTCTTTTTTGATACTTTTTGCTTTAGTTTTGGTAATGGGAACATCAATCAGTTCAGGTTCTTACCGGTTATTGTAAGCAATTTGTTTTAGATTGTTTACTTCGTTGTTATAGTCCTCTTTAGATAGAGGGATGTTTAATAGTCTATGGATATAACAATGAACAGTAGCAATTTTATGTTCTTGGGGGTGGTAGGAATTGTTCTGTATTGTGTGGTCAGTCTGTGTCGGTTTCCTATTTGTGGGGTTCCTAGTAATTGTGATGTCTAAGAAATTGATTTTTTTGTTGCTTTCTAGCCCTAGGGTGAAAGATATGTTAGAGTGTATGGTGTTAATCTTCTGGAGCAACAATTCAGCCTGATTTGAGTCACCGTCTAGAATACAGAGACAATCATCCACATACCTGAACCAATGGAAGATCTCACCATTGCCACCATTCAAAATGCAACTTCAAGAAAAGAAAATCCATGAAAACATCTGCTAAGAACGGAGATAAGCAACTGCCCATAGCTAAGCCGTCCGGCTGCTGGTAGAATGTGTTATTAAAAGAGAAATAGTTTTGTGAAAGAATTTAGAAGTGACAAAATGTCAACGACTTTCTCTTCGTATTCATTCTTGGATCTCAATAAATCTCCAACAATGCCCACCGTTTCAGTCTTTCGGACAGTAGTGAACAAGTTTGTAACATCAAATGATACGATTAAATAGTTGTTTGGTAGATTGATGTTTTGCAGTTTTTCAAATCCAATGAGTTGATTAGCTCAAACCTTGGTGCGAATGATGTAAATTCTTTAATCAAATTAAGTACCAAAGTTGATAAAATTGAAACTGGTGTCTGTGTGAAGCTTACCACAGGTTTGATGGGGATGTCGTCCTTATGGATCTTAGGAAGTCCATATATGCGTGGTACCAGTGGATTACTTGACAGTATAGTATAGAAATACACAACCCTCTTTGCTTAATTGCTAAACGTGCACACAACATTCAACCCTAAAATAATTAAAAATTAAATGCAAAAAAGAAAAAGAGTCCCACTTTGTGTTAAAACTGTTTGGCTTAGTTTTTGGAATAAAAAAAACCTTGGACGCTGCTGAAAAAGGCCTTGATATAGGCTAGCAGACAATGTACACTCAATAGTACGCAATTTAAGTAGGCACACCTATTAAGATTTATTTCAACAAAGGTATCTAGGAGTACCCGTACCTACCTACAACTATTTGGTGTACTCAATATCCATATTTTCACAAGTAACTGGACTTTTGCGTCAATGGTGTTCTTTGATGCACTCTCGCTTTTATGTAAAGGCTTTATCTTTTCCAATAGGTAGTCAAAAGCGATCCTCCAGCTCTTTATATTTGATATGTTTTTTAGATTCAGCAAGTAGAGCAGCTGACCCAAGTGCTTTCGATGTTCTGTCTAGATAGGATTTTGCCAAGGTATGGCTACATGTTGCATCCCAAATCAGTTGCTTTCCCTGTTTCCATGGGATCAAAGTCATTCCATCCGCTCTCTTACCGTCATTTCTACAAATGCCGAGCGGCTCTAAAACTGCTGGATGTTCAGCAGAAATCAAAGCACGCTTAATTATGTCATTGATTTGACTATGCCTGGAAGCACGACCTGCACTCTTTTTGCAGCTAAGCCCATGCGAGCCATATATATCTACTGTTTCGCCGCAAATGCAGGGGTCCACAGCCACAGGCAAACCAAGTCTAATTGCAATTGATATTCGAAAACATGTATTATCAAGCTGGTTTCCCAAGGAAGCAGACGGAAGAGCATTGAGCCATGCACTAGATTCAGGAGCTTGGAGAGCTAGGAGACGCGCCCGGTCTTCATTTGTTTGACATTCAGACCAAAGTTGTTGTTTGCGAAATTGACACATTGAAAAATCAAAATCTTTTTGTGATTTTTTAAATTCTTCAGGAACGCAACTTAAATTTGAAAGCGAAAGCCATTTTTCAGTGCATAAATCAAGGTCTAAATCACAGAAATTTGAAATATTTTCAGGCAAAATACTATTAAGTAGTTTATATGAATCATTAATGGAGCCCAAAAAAGCAGATATTGATAATGTACTGGCATCCCTTATTCCGAGGCCGCCCAATTTTATGGAAAGTTTACTCTTGCTCCATGATTTTGAACTGATCGGACAATTCGTAATATCCTGAAGACAGTTTTGTAAAATAGTGTGATATTCTTCTAATGATTCCGGGTTTTTCCAACAAGGAATACATCGCAGTAAATATGAGATTCGAGGTATAGAAAAAGATGATTTTAACAGAAACTAGGCCACATGTGAATCAAGTAATTTTAGTTTATCACGCATTTTGTTAAGAAAATTGATTTTATCTTTAACTTTCAAATTAATTTGCTCAGGTGAGAAAACGCATCCGAGCAAATTAAAATTGGAAATTGGAACTTCTAATAAATTTGAGGAAATATCGTGAAAATCGGATATTATAGATGAAGAATTTGATGATATAGTAGATATTTCGCATTTATTAAAATTTAGAGAAAGGCCGATATTTTGACTGGCAGAAATTAATTTTTTAAAATTTTCTAAAACATTTTCGGGATCTCCTGCCAAAGTGCCGTCATCCAAGTACCACAAATTTAAATCAAGCGAGTTTATAGAAGACACTATGCTGTGAATTGCCAAACAAAATAATGGAGGACCCAAAGGATCTCCTTTTTTGACG